TGACCCAACATATTTTAACGTATTATACCTTGTACAGAAATTCTGATTAAAAAACAATAATGACAATACATCAAATTTCAGATTCCTGTTAAATGGAATTTTTTACATAAACTTGTAAGTTCTATTAATTATGAGGGTTGTCCTGAAAGTAATGCAAAGCGTGCTCTATGCAACGTAGACAGCTGATTGAAATGTCAGTGTGTAGATTGAAGTCTTACAAACACATTGGTATCAAATGATATTGGGATTTGTTCAAAGGAAAAATGCCAAAAATTCAAAAAGACAACGAGAACAGTCCATCAGGTCTGATTTCAGCATTAGAGCAACATGCGTATATTCGCATCAAAATAGTGTGGGGCAAAAAAGTGCCCAAAATTCATACCACGTTTAAAGAAGTGTCTGGAAAGACACATTTTTGAGATTTATTTTTTAAAAAAATATTTTGACGTCAATGACTGATGCTAATAATGACTTCATCATTTTTCTATGGTAATTTGTTTTGAAAGCACTAATAATGCCTTGATTAAAGGGTTGTATAAGAGCAGTAGTATTTTTTGGAAGATACATTACTTTTATTTTACCATTGTCAGACACAAGGTTATCAGCCAGTGGATAAGCTGGGCAATTACGTAAGAGAAGCCTTTTGGATCTAGACTCAATCCTCTCAGAAATTTTCGCACAGAGGGAACAAAGGAATTGTGAAACCAGTCGTGAAATATGTTAAAAGTCATCCAAGCGTTTATGCTGTTTTTATAAACAACTGGCAGAGATTTTATATTGATTGACTTTAAACATCGTGGGGTTTGACTTTTACCTATAATGAATGGTGTCAACTTGTGATTACCAGCTTTATTTACACAAAATAAAGCTGTTATCCTTTCCATTCTCTTCTTATGTTTGCTTTTGAAACTTCGGTTTTTACTTTAGCAATAATGTCAAGCTTTTCTTTTACTCATCATGCATACAATAATTTAACACTATTCAAAATACATACAGGAAGTCAAATAGAGAATTCGATCCCAGCCCCTACTTCTAATCCCAGGATTTTGGGATTATACTTAGTCAATCTCGGTATTGAGGGTTAATAAAAAATTAAAAAATCTTACAGAAANAAAATAACTTTTATACTATTAATTATTATAAAAAGACAAAAGGCTTAATTTTGAGGGTAGAGATGAGTTTTCAAAAAATTGTAAATGATAATAATGAGTAAATTCTTTGTTAAGTCCAACCCCACTCGAAATTTGACACGCAAGGCCCCATCTATCTCCCTACTATCTCAAGCTATTAACTCCCAAAAGTTAATAGCATTAATGCCTCTTACATACAAGTTATCATGCCAAATTTAGTGTCTTAATCTTTATTCTATCCTGAGATAAATGAAATAAATATGTTAGAGTCTATTTCATTTAATATTTCATTCAAAATTCTGCATGCATATGTCTTCACACATATACACACAAAATTTTATTCCTTTATTCAGTTCAGAGGTGCCAAAATGTCGACAATTATGCATTATTGCCACTTTTATCTTAACATATACATGTTATAATAAATTGTAAAAGTAACTACTACTACAAATTATGAAACCAATCAGATAATTGAAATTTTTTTTAATTGTAATCATAAATAAATTTACAGCTGATACAGAATAAGGTACTACAAAATATAGAGTTTACCTTTCAGTTTCAGCATCATAATTTATGTTAGGAGAAAAATACATAATGTATAAACATAACAAAAATAATATAAATTTTAAATTTCTACAGTTCAATGATTCAATTGAGTTCAACTTTTCATAAATAAAATCAATAATTTAAAGTTGAATATGATATAATGGAATGTCAAATACTTGTTATATCTGTGGAAAAGTTTAGAACATTTAACGAAATCATCCATAAAAAGAAATTATTAGAAAATTACCAGTTTGAGATTACTACTCAATTACAGAACGATCTAGATGAAGAGGAATTACGACTTTTAAATATAATATATGAAATGAATAGAAATGATTTATAATATAGTAGTATATTTATTTGAAAGAAATAAAGTAATGAATATTTATTATGATCTTGATTATAATAATTAAATTTAAATAAAACAACTGTGTGAATCAGTGTGATTCATCTTATGATGTTGAAATAACAATGTTGAATAACTTGTTATTTCAACATAAAATGTTGAAGTCTTGCAACCTGGGTTCGTATTGTTGCAATATGAACCCACGTTGCAAGACTTTCTGGACACGCTTAAGGGAATACTTCTTCGCCGGGAACAGCAGAACAAGGAAGAGGGTTCGCTTCCTGGAAATCCGCATCAAATTAATCAACGGGTACTTTTCCATCTTACGTTGATGTATTCGTCCTATGGCAGGACGAATACATAAATGTAGATCACATAGAGGACTATTCTGAATGATGGAGTCTTCCACACTACGTATGACGAGTTCACACAACGTACCAGAAAGAAGCTTCCAATTGGAACTNATTGGTAAACAGAATTTAATAGTAGTGTTCATAAAACACTTCTAGTAGCCCAAAGCCAACGAAACATGAAATGCTTTCTTGTATTGATAAAATAAGAAATTCTAAAAGGTCTATAATTGTTGGCTGATATAGAAAAAATATTGGACTGCCAGTCAGTGGATTTGAATTCAACTCTAGGCAAAAACTTCAAATTTTCACACACTAATTCAAAAACTGGTTTACCAGAATAAGTTCAAGAATTAATCTTATCAAAGCTGTACATCATTTAATGTTAAAATAGAGTTTCATGCAAATATCTCAACTTATCATGCAGTTGAAAATTAGTCTAATAAAATATTACTTCAAGTAATGTATGTATGTTGCTGTTTGAAAAGGTTATGAAAAAGTATTTTTGCATAGATTGATAAAGTATGAAAACTCAATTTCAAGGTTATTGGTAAGGGTAACTTGAAGAAAGTGAACTTTTTTATATTTATATGCAGCTTTGTAGATATAGAAAAGAGATTCAATGTTTTTCAAGGGTCGATTTTGCCTCCTCACTGTAATATGGCACAAATGAAAAATACGTGTTACAGATGAACTATTCTACTGGCGCACAGCATTTCAGATGTTTTGAATTTCCACATTACCTAACCTCCCTTGTAAATGTTCTAAACTTTAATACAGATATAAAAGTACATGTATTTTGTATTTAAAATTATAATTCATTCAGATTTGTGTGAAAATAAAAAATTTTAGCCTCTCACACAAAAATAAATTCGAATCTTAAGTACTGGATTACACAAATCCAGAAATATATACTCATTTAATGAGGCCTAAATTATGTAATGAATCATCTCAAGATGGAAAAAGGCTGTTTCTGGATGAACACTGATTTCAGGAACAAGAAATTCACTTTACTATCAACAATCTAACGACAATAAATTATTAAATAATACTTAGCTAATGTTTTTAGACATCCTTATACTGAATATAAGAATATATTCTAACTACAGGCTGTTTGAAAAGTTACTAAGGAATGAGAAATTTGTAATAAAATTAAAATTATAATATAGTATTGCATAAGAGACAAGATCTATAAGTTGTATGCAATACTGTAACAGTCAACTGGTAATGAATGATTAACTTACAGGTTTTGTAAGCAATATCATATATATATGTTACTGTGAATGACCGATATCTGGCGAATGTCAGCATTCACACAATAGTTTCATGTATGTACGAAATATTTGCTAAATATCATTATTTCTCACTTACACCGACAAATGTTGACATTCGGCATGCACTGATGGTGAATGTTAAATAAAAATATTTTTATTACGTTAAGACAAAAATGCAACTTTTTAATATGTCAAAATAGGAGAAAGCTTAAGTAACGGCACATGTAAAAAAACTGTTGAACTTAAATGAACATTACGTTCTAAATCATTAAAGAAAATAATACAATAATAAACTTACACATAAATTATGTGATTAACATTGTACAATCATATTTATTGCAATAACTTAAACTGTTATGGCACTTTGAGTCCCTTGCTTTTACAACTGCATTTATTCGTGGAACACCTCTTTTTTTTAGATTTTACAAATACCTGAGCTGTTCACAGTCCAGCACACATATTTGTAAAATCTAAGTGATTCGTACAACATGGAATTCATATAACATGGAATTATCTACAGTGTTATAGGAGGGTCTACTGTATAGCCTTACCCTCCACTTTTCGAATTAGCTGTAACTGTTTCTCTCAGCGATATTTCTTGAGAAGAAATCTCATCTATGGAAAGTAACTTTTCTTTACAAATTACAAACTGATTATGTTATTACGTGATTACAAACTGATCTGTTAATGGTGTCTTTTATTCGGATATTGACAACGCCTTACCAACGACCCCCTTTCATCCTCCGTTACTCAACAAGACTAACCGATCCCCACCTCACAGGATCAAAAGAACAAAAACACCATTGAGTGACAAAGTGGGCGATTTCCACCAAACCGTTGCCAGGAAAAGAGGTACAATCTTGTCTTACCTCTGACTACCCACAAAGGATTTGGCGACAGACTGTCACCTCTCTGTCAAAATAGGCTTTTCGGGTGTCATTTCGACCTCCACCAAAGCTTATCTGTGCTTGTCAACATACACCGGTGATTGTTCGAATGTATAATACTGTAATATAACCAAATATTCAGTCTTTCACTGAAATATTTTGTATGTGTCAACATTCACCGGAGAATAATGACATTCTCTAATTTCGGTCTTTCACAGTAATATATATTTATTTGTAGTCACATTAAAGCTATATATATATAGCTTTAATGTGACTACAAATTTCTCACTGCATGGCAAATTTTCAAACATCTTGTGCAGTGTGCGCATTCTTGTACAGAACACAACATTGAATTCTGTACAACACTATGCAAAACAACGATTTTATTTTAGTTACTAATTCAAAAGCTTTTTACATCCATCACAGCATTGAATTCTGATGGATGTAAAAAGCTTTTGAATTAGTAACTAAAATAAAATCGTTGTTTTGCATAGTGTTGTATACTTTATGTGAATAAGAAACAGGAATAACAGAGATTTGAAGGTTGATCTAAAATAGATGATACTAATCCTCTTACAGAAAATCAACAATTTAATATGTTTTGCAATGAATAGAATCCATTATCTAACAATGCCTTTTTTCAAACTTGAGAGAATTCAGTATATAATTTTATCATATCTCATTCAACCTTCAGTTATTCCAATACATCAAAAAATAATAACAACAATAAATAAATAAATAAACTACACACATGTCCAAAACTTAAGGATGAACATAATTGCCAGCGGTAATAGTTAGAAAGTCACTGAACAAGTCTTCCACACTATTGAATGCTACCTCACAATTCAAAATGGGCATAATCCTTACTGACAGGTCTCTGCATGTGTATTGGTAAGCCCTTTCCATCCATTCTCCATCTACATTCAACTCCTGTATGTATCTTTTTCATCAAAGACTTTATTACTTTGATTTGTAAAATATTACTGTGTCAGAATCAAATAATAGAGTTCTTGCCATATTTGTCTGCATTCATCTATAGTTCTCTACTCACGTATAAATGTTTTCCATCCTTAAGTTTTAGACACATGTAAGAAAAATATGGCAATTACTAGAAAAATGTTTGTTCTGTCTTACTATTTTGAGCATTTTTAAATGTGTTTGAAAAATACTGTACTATAATTGCATTGTCTGATTTCATATTTATTTCCATTAACATGGAAATACAAATTCAATATTAATACAAATTCTAGATGGTAATGGAAATATCAATCCAAACATGATATCAAATATAATTTAAGTATAAATCATTTTCAAAATGATTTTAAAAAATTAGTGGGAAGTTACTATATAAAAACAATTTACCTTTCATTATTTTCATTTTTTGATGTTTACGCCATGTGACATTTTTGATGACGTCTTAAATTAGACATAATTTTAAATCCTTTATTGCAAATCATGCAAAGAAAAGGTCTCTCTGCAGAATGACATACTAAATGTTTTGTTAGATTTGATTTCTTCCTGAAAGAATTTTTGCAAAATTCACATTGAAAAGGTCTTTTATCTGAATGATAATCTTGATGCTCTTTTAAGTTTGACATAGTTTTAAAACTTTTGTTGCAAACCATACATTGGTATGGTCTATCGACAGAATGGCATACCAAATGTTTGGTTAAATACGATTTTTTTCTAAAACGCTTTTCACAAAATTCACAGCGGAAAGATTTTTCTTCAGGGTGACAATTCTGGTGATATGTTAGGCAAGATTTTGATTTAAAACTCTTGTCACAACAATCACATTGAAAAGGACCACTATCACAATTATAATTTTGATGCGTTGTTAGATGCGATTTGCGGTTGAAATTTTTTCCGCAGATCTCGCACTGAAAAGGACTCTTTTCAGAATGACATCTTTGATGCTGCATTAATACTTTTTTCGACTTAAAACACATTTGGCAAAGCTCACAAAGAAATGGTCTTTCATCTGAATGGCATATCTGATGCTTTTTTAAATCTGGTTTTCTTGTAAAACTTTTCTCACAGTGTTCACATTGATATGGTCTCTCATTCGAATGGCATTTCTGATGATCTGTTAAGCTTGACAAAAATCTAAAACACTTTCCACAATTTTCACATTGAAAACGATTTTCACCGTAATAGTATTTTCGACGTACCTTTAAGCAAGGCTTATGATTCTCTTGCTGTTTTTCCGAATGACACTCTTCATGTTGTAATAAAACCAGTTTCGTCTTAAAACACATTCCACATAAATCACATTGAAATGGTTTCTCTTCAGTGTGACATATTTGATGTCTTATAGCATCTGATTCATATTTAAATCTTCTCTCACAAATTCCACATGGAAATGGCCTCTTTCCGCAATGATATTTTTGATGTTTTGTCAAATTAGATTTATATGTAAAATTCTTCTTACAAACATTACAATGAAACTTATTTACAGAATGCAAATTTTTATGTTTCTCTAAATTAGAATATATAAAAAACCTTGCATTACAAATATTACAAGTGTAAGTCCGTTTTCTAATCTTCATTAATTGCCTTATCTTGAAGTGTAAATTGTAAAAATAAAAATTTTTCCGAATCCTCTGAAGATATTTTTTCTTGTAAGCAGTCCATTTTGGCTTTTTCAAAACAGATTTTCTAGCAAACCTCCTCTGACAAAATCTGCATTTAATATGTTTATTGCCATTATGTACTAGTAAATGACATTTTAATGTCTGATTCCAAATAAATCTTTTTTTGCAAATTTTACATTGAAATAGTTTACCTCTTGCAAAATTAATTATGTCCAACTCTAATGTTTGTAGATTAGGAACTTTTCTTTCATACATATCATAAGATATATCACCGTTAATTTCATCATTATGGTAAATACTTTTCTCTTGATCTTCATAAAATTCATATCCTGTTAAATTTAAATACCTTCATTAGCAATTTTTAAATGTTTTGCATCAAGAATTCAAAAGTTCATTTAAACATTTAATTATTAACATCAGACAAAAAACTCGCACAAGTAAACTGGAACTGTATACTAAACACAACAATTAACACCTAACCGCTAATTCCAGCACTGAATGAACAATAATTTTAATGCTCGAACGTTTTCGGCCGTCTTTTAGAGGCCCTCCTCAGGGCCTTTGAAAGACAGCCGAAAACGGCCATATAGAAACCATGAAGGGAAACTGCATTAACTCCGATTATATTCTGATTCCACAATCGTGGAAGTATTATTTACATTGCCACAAAGCACAACAATAATTGTATGTGTAATTATTTTTCATCTTTCTGCTTTGTAAAAGAAAACAATTCGTTTACATCGCGCTAATTTTTACAACGATATAACAATAATTTATGTATAGCGTTATTTTAAAATAATTATTTTTATGTTGCAAACGTAACAATTTTTATATCAGATGGTACATCGTTTAAATATTTAAAAATTTGGAACACAGCTGTATTCAACGGTTAGAAGTTTTCAAATGATAGAACTGTTTTTTTTTTTTTTTTTTTTTTTTTGTGTGTGTTTCATCCTGAGGAGGGCCTCTAAAAGATGGCCGAAAACATCAGAGCATTAAAATTATTGTTCATTCAGTGCTGGAATTAGCAATTAGGTGTTAATTGTTGTTTATAACCATCAAATCAACTGCTGTATTACAGGCTATAATATAAATTAAACCCCAATAATATGGCAGATCATTTGGTATGAGTTCAAGACTGGGTTATCAGACTTATTGTTTATTTAATTATTAAAAATTAAAAGAACCTATTCTGGAAAAAATTTTAAAAATTAATATCTAAAAATCAAAATACTGTACTAAAATAATGGTTTAAGTTTAAATAAATTTAAACATAAATTAATTTAAGTTTTTCCATTTCAGAATAAATTAAATTTATAAAAATTTAAAGCAAGTAACAACTATAAAATTACATTGTGTTGATGTGAAAAATCCAAATAAATTATATTTAAATTTATAAAGAAAAAAGTACCTTTGTTATCTATAACTAAATTATTATTAAACTCAGCTCCTGGAAGACTTTCTTTAGAAGAAGAATCATGATATATTTCACAATGAGGTATTATTGATTCAGTCTGATTTTCTGGAGAAAAGCATTTCATTTCAAAAGTATGATCATCACAGGAGCCATCACTTCCATTCATAAATATAATTTCTTCTGCATTCTGCATCTATATATAAAATATATAATTGCGATTAGTCAAATATAATGTTTTGATCAACCAAATTAAAACACAAAATATCTGTAATTATTAAAATCAACATATTAATAGTAAATTTTTATATTATTATATTAAATATATATTATAAAAATATATTATTTACTTAAATTCTGATCATACACAAGTTCGCATCACAAAAAGATGAACCAAAAACCAGAAAGTTTTGAACTGATTTGTTGTAAAATATTTTGGCACCCCACAAATTAAATAGGGACGATGAAAAAAGGTTCTCTATCAATATGGAGTTACTGCACTTTTAGTAATACATGTAAGAAGTGTAATGACAATGCTCAGCACTATATTTCATGGTTCCAGTCCCACTTGTTTCTGAAACCACTGGACACTGGTCATGGTTCACATCTCACCAATCAGCTGGTAATGTGGAGTTTTCTAGGTTTCCTTTATGTCTCTAACATCTAAATAGGAGCCAGTTTCCCATAGAAAATCCTCCTGGGTGGCACTTCTCCATGGAAGTTTATCCAAGCATTGCATTGCCTTCTTCCATCAATCCATTTTGTGGCACCTGAAGTGCCATTGAGACAATCCAATTGAAATCCACTAACCTATGATGTAGCTTCAATGTATGAGATCCCAAGCATTAGCTCAGTTTATGTATAAATCTGGCATTTTTCATTGTTTAGATCTACTAATACAGGGTCCAGCAGAAAAATAGATAATTATATATATTTTAAAAAGTCAATTTTATGAACAAGGTTTTGAACAACACAGTATGCTATTTATGTTTTGAAGACAACATCAAACAATGTGACCCTTATTCATGTGCAAACACCCTTCACATTTTCAAAGTATGTCATGTATAGTGTGATACAACATATAGGTATGTTACTGATTGCATAATGATCAGAAGTTGTCCATAAAATCTAAGACAGAAATTTGTCATGCAAAAAATAACATAACCAAGAATATGTTACATCACTACAAATAACATATTTCAAAGATAAGAAGAGTGTTTGTATATTAGCGAGTCATTCGGGTAATGACGACTTCAAAACATAAATGGCAAACTATATTGTACATGAAAATTCATTTTAAAATATTCAAAAGTTAATAACTATCTATTTATAATTGCCCATTTTCCTTCCAGATCCTGTATATATTTTATTTTATAGACTATTTGTTTCTCAAATTTTGACTAATCAAAATATTTTTTATCATATTCACTGATTCAGGAAATAAATGTTAATGTAGCAATATGTTTACTTACTCTGATATCATGATCAATTTCTTCTTTTTCAATTTTTAACATCATTTTCATATCTTCAAAACCCAATTCTAAATTGTACTGATGCGATTCTTCATCCCACTCTGGTTCCTTCTTAATATTGAATCTTATAGTTTCAAAATCTAAAATAAAAATTTCAGTAAACAAATGCTAATTGGAAAAAGCAATCATTTTCAGAACATCCTAAACAGAAAAACATGTCTATAGCTGGAATACTTTCAGGCTAGAATTAATCACATTTTCGTCAATTAAAATACAGAATTTAAAGAATTTACCCTATAAACAGTCAGTTAAACATCATCTTTTCCCAAGATAGTATTAAGAATATAAAAATTTCAATACTATTGTGTCAATTAACCTTTGTGTCAAGTTCCACAACTTAATTATTAAAACTTTGCTTAATTCTAGCTTAAAAAATAAACTGGCTTTAGATATGTTTGGCCAAACATTTTACACACACCCTATACATTATGACACTTTTAGCATAAAACACATACAGTAAAACTTTATTAAGTTGAAGTTTAAGGAATAAAAAAAGAAAAATCCCTACATTGAGTTAGAGTTTCAAGTTAACAAGTTTAATATCTGATTTTCTCATATTTTTTGAGACCCTAAATTTCCCATTATCAAGCCATTATTCAAGATTCTGTTCACAGAATGGTTATAAAATTGTATACAATTTATGGCAGTTTTGAGTGCATTGTCAAGGCTGGTAACATGCCATATACAGTTGACCCCCTATAACACTTAATGAGACGGTATTATATGGTAAATCCTGTATATTGTGCCGATCTGCTGAGAACTTTGAGTTAATGCAGTTCGACTTAGCAAGGTTTTACTATATTAATTATATTTAATTTCTCCATGAATGTGCTTTGAGCACCAGCAGTAAGAGAAGCTTATACGATTATCTATTACTTGCATAGTAAAGTATTAATAGGTTAAAACATTGATACTTTACATATTTTAATATCTTTGAAAGAAAGCTTTTAGGCCAAATAAAAAATATGGCCAAAAACATTACAGATTAAAGTAGTTAATGAAATTTTTAAGCTTTTTAGAATTTTTTTCTTTAAATATAACAAATATACTATAAAATAATTATACATTCATATAAAATTGTCCTAAAAGATTACTCTTTGCTATGTTATTTGGATGTGTAGACTATGAATATTTAATAATAAATGCATTTTCATAATGCATACACTTCTTAAAATAATGGTGATTTATAACAAGAAAAGTCACAAATTTATTACTGTTTGTTCCATATATATTATTCTCTTTAAAAAATTCATAAGAGAAAGACTCTTTTTATTATAAACCAAATTTTATATATAGGTTAATTCATTCATGGTATTTTCTGATGTCATAGTAAATTAGACATACAGTACTGTATTTCCATTTCTAATCATCATCATTAGCATCTTATACTGTTCCTTTCAGATTTTGCTCTTACAATCTAGTTATACCAGTATAAGGGCAAAAAGTGAAAAGAACCTTGAATTCCAGAGCAATCCTTTACAGTTGGTTGGTTGGCTCTTTTCGTGAAAGAGCCATTCAGGTCCATGTCAAATGGTATAATAAATATAGATATATAAACTGTACAAACTAGAATGTGTAAAAGCGGTATGAAAGATTAAATAACAATAGGGTATATCAACCCTTTATGATATCTGATCAGAACAATTGTGGCTCTAGATGAGGCAGTTTGGACCTTATCAGATTGTAGACCATACCCAAAGGTTTAAAAAATGTTTATATATGAAATTAACTGCTGACACAGTGGACAGAACTGCATAACATTGCTTACAACAGCATAATTACAATATTTACTAAATATAGGGTATACTGTATACAATATACAGATTATAAAGGTCCTTCTTGGCAAACATTTAAAAGGAATATTGAAAAATATGATAAATTTTCAGGTTTATCTTGCAAAGTCAAACAAACCAAAAGAAAAGATCAGTATATCTTATTCAAGCATCAAAGTCGAACTCATGGTTCCTATTTGGTTTTTACTTTTACAGAGATAGAGGACAAAACTACAAACTTTAAAATGTAACTCAGACTGAAAATTGTCCAATGAGCAAGTTTTAGAGAGCAGCATAAACAAGAAGCATTCTTAAGACATTCAGAGTGGAGAAAGTATCAACATAACGGAAAAGAAAACAGTAAGAGGATGGAGTACTGGATACAGTGAAAGGCTAAACAACTTGCAACAAGATTAAGCAATTAGTGTTAAGTAGAAGTGAATGGGGGAACTTGATGTGGTAAGATGTAAACTCTGAATGAAAGGTTTTCCACCCCACAGAATTGTAGATCTTTATACGAGCAAAAAAGTCAAAGGAGCCGTACCCGTACATGCGACCCTCGGCAAAATATTCATCTCCAAATATAGGTTTTTACCATGTACCAGTATACCGCCATTGCTCGCTATTATTTGCACCTCAGAGCAAGAGCAGGGGTGAGCCCCAAACCACCTAAAACTATAAAACATCAATTACTCCACAAACAATCAAGCAGACCACACAGTTGCCAGGGCTAAATAGTTAAATGCAACAACAGTCTTAATGAAGCAATGCAACTCCCAAGAAGTAGGCCGGTTTTGAGGCACCATATCTCACCAAGGGTCATGCTTAGAGGTACGGTTCCTTTGACTTTTTTGCTTGTATGGGTACATAAGGTCCAACAGTCTCATTCAAAAGTGTACCTTGATGGTGCCCACTAACCTTTGGATTCATAATTGCTGTTCCAAAGAGAAGTTTGGATCCCAAATTTTATATTAAACCTTTTAAAATCCACTAATTGGGCTAATTCAGTATCGAACGTAAGTTTTACACTTACCGATATCCTCCGATTCATTCATTGTGAAGCGATCTTCCCACGTACAACACTTCTCTAAGCTCGTGCTGTCAGGCGGGTTATACGAACCTATCACATAGGGTGCGTTTACTTTTAGCTCCGATCTCGCCCCTAGCGCGCTCAGCCTGTATACTTTTTGTTAGCTACCAATGAGCACGGCGTTTACTTTTCGCACCCATGACGTCATTGCTAGCATTCCTAGCGCGCTCGGCGTGCTCGGAGAATTTACAACGAGCTTGGAGTTTGTTCAAAGATGGCGGCGTCCATTACTGTGTATACTTTTACGAGCGTGCTAGTATGACGTCAGGCTGAGCTAGGTGTCAGCTCGGCGAGCTTGGAAGCTAGCAAAAAGTAAACGCACCCATACTATTATTATGCTAATAATTTTAGAATTTGATAAATTAAGTAAATGATCCCGAAACGCGTATTATTAATGTTATTATTTGTAGCGAATTATTAATTATTATTCGGTTGTAAAAAGTTAGTTCAAATTTCTATCCACTTTCTTCTCATTCATAGAAACAAGTTGGCTTTTCGACGTAAATTCGAAGCGCCATCAAGCGAATAAAAAAAATAAATATAATAATAACTTTTAGCTACAATATGTAAAAAACTAGATATAAAATATCGATGGCATTAATTAATAATGTATAAATGATTTTATGGCTAATTTTGGATATTGATAGTAAAATAACTGGCGTCTAATTACGGAACGATTCCGTAACCATAGTTCTGTTTTTTACCACGAGATGTCGCTACTTTGTGACGTCAAGAAGCTGGACAAGCATAATACTGTGTTGTAAATACACTACAGTCAGAATTAATTTATTACGAACAAAATTTTCTACTGTTCGTTTGTTGAACGTCAAATTTCTTTTGTCTAATGTTCAATGTTTATATTATAGCTTTAAAAGATGATTATTGTTTATTATTTTTATCAAAATATTTAAAATTATACAGTATTTTATAAAAGTTATTCTACAGAATATGTAGACTTTCGTTCTTAAATTCTTTTAATCTCAAGATTTTCCTGCTGAATTTTCAATCTCTTACTCGAATTTTTTTTTTTTGTATTATTTGATAAAATTATTCATTGCGTTTTAGAAATAATTTAAACGTTTTATATTAGAAAATTTGCAATACAGTATTTTATTTCACAATTAACGTTTATCTTTGAAATGTTCCACAAAACCAAACTCAATTTTCTGCATAGGCATCCTTATTTGGTTTTCACGAAATTTTAAACAACCTAACCCTAGCGAATACCAAGAGTTAAGTGTATCTTGTGTAATTTGAGTAAAGTCTTTTGAATTGGTAGTTTAAATCCATCAACAAATTATCATCGTCACTAAAATATTAGTGAACTTTTTGTAGCCTGATTTAACAGATCTGCAATGATTCATTTGAACGTTAGCTAAGAAAAAATGCCACAGTATTCATAAGAAAGATGTTTTCTTTATGAAAAAGATTTATTGAAAATTATACATTTGCAACATTTTCATATGCACAATCTGTTATTGAATGTTTTCCTTTTGTAAGTACAGTACATTTCTGAACTGAGCGTAGTCATGATCCCATGTGCCAGAGCCGCACGAGTAGAATTTATAAATTCCATGAATTTTTAGACAGTACGACACAATTAACTTTAGTTGGTTCTCAACTTATCTGTGACTTTCCATTCGTAGAAATCTGTCAAATACAGTACATAATATTTTTAATTACAGTACTACTGAATGAGCTGTTAATATTCATGAAAACAATTATTTTAAGATATATTAATTAAATACAGCATTTTTAAATTTCAGAACAGAATTTACTTACCCTTCATAGTTTTGAATTCCAGCTTCTCAATTTCACAGGCAAATTTATGTACTATACAGGTACAGTACTTTCTCCAGATGTTCACGTAATTGAAGGAAAGTAGAAAATCCTTCAGAACATGAAGTCTTCCGACAGAATATAGACTTTTCCTCCACCAGGATTTGCTTATCTTCTAAATCTACATGCTTGTTAGTAAGATTTCCTTTTGAGGAGAAGTGCTTATCGCAATAACAATAAGTATTTTTTAATATATCCAACGCAATATTTTCCATAACGATTTCTTAGCAACGTAGCGGGAATGCTTCAAAACCAATTATCGATGATAAAGTATGGTTTTAAAGCTAAAATATCGACAAAAAATTTCAAGCACACCGTACAGTATGAGGTATACGCTATCTGAACGTCACGAGACTAGCGGCATCTCGTGGTAAAAACCAGAACTACGGCTACGGAATCGTTCTGTAATTAGACGCCAGTGTAAAATAAGTATAATGAGTAAAACGGAATTATTCTTTCATCTCGTTTGAGTTCCTTAAGTGTTGCCAGATTACCTCGAGTTTTTTTTTATTTTAAAACTTTTGGGATAATTTAATGTCTAGTTTCAGATCAAATTACTGAAGTACGGTTAGTAATACAAAATAAGGGCAATGAAATTTTATTTTCTATCCAGAAGTGCGCGCCGCGCTGATTTTACTGTCGAATATCCTGTACTTTATGTCTTAGGCATCCCGCCGAATTAGTCCTTCACGCCGATGATGTCGTCTATTTGGCTAATACTTAAAATTATGAGCAACTCAGAAGTTAGTGTTTTATGAGGCCGGATGGTCGAGCAATCAAGGTGCCAGCCTACCACTCCGGAGGACTCGGGATCAGAATCCGGACGGGTCGAAAAATTTTTGGGGAGTTTTCGGGGCCCTCATCGCTCGGCCAATCCGTAGTGGATTTGGCCAAACCCATAATGGGCTTGCTAAAAGAGGCACTCTTAGTGCCCACAGGGCGAAAAGACTGAAAAAAAAAAATGTTTAGCCATTCAGTAAAACCCGTATAAACCGGAATCACATGATTCCAAATATTTTTCCGGTTTGGCAAATTTCCGTTTTGAACGGGTTTCTTTTTATACATAAAATAATCGCTCCGTTTCAAATAATGTTTTCCGCTTAGGCAGGTTTCCGTTTTATTGAGGTTCTTCTTTGTCAGTCTTATTGTGTTATTAATTGAAGAGGTGTGGCAACACTTTATCGAAGAAGTGAATGTCAATTTCAATGGTAGGATCGCGTGCTTTGAGAAGAGGTTTTATTTTGTTTATAAGAAGATTAATAACACGATGAGCGAATTAACGGATGTTAGTAAGTATCCAATTTGCTTAAAATGACGGAATTAAATATAATTCGGTTCTGCATAATCGTGTTTACTTCGTTTATCCGCTATGCTTAGAAACACGTTGAATCGATACGTCGATAGCAGAATAGTTAAGGCGGTATCGCTTGTAATTGACATTTTAATCATTACCGTACCCACGTGGTAACAAATATATGAAAGATAAGATGTAAACTCTTAATAACGGATTGACACTCCTAGAGTGTTATTTGACACCCCTGTATGAGCAAAAAAACGTCAATGGGACTATAACTATACCTGTATAAGCGCCCCTTGGCGAGATATTTTTCTCCAAAGGTCAGTTTTTACTGTTACCGATATGCTGCCTATTCTCCATGCACTGCACGTAGTCGCGCACTTTGGTGTGAAGCAGTAGTGAGCACTTTGGTGCTTAATTGAATTTAATGCTCAAATTCATTATTTTAACTATCTTAACTTAGCATTATTATGTAGGGTGTCCCAAAAGTCTCCATACAGTGACACAAGCCCACCGGTGGCCAAATAAATAAAACACTGTTGAACACTGGTAGTTGTGCCTGACCAACGGGCTGGACACCATGCAATGTTTTGGGTTTACTTCGTGTGTCTAACACCTAAACACATCCAGTTTACAGTCCTGCTAGAAGTTACCCCATTTGCAGATCACTCACATGTTTCTTTGCCTTACTCCATCAATCCACTGACACAAACCTTAATGCTGACATTTTAACGTTTTGTGAATAAAGTTATATTTCACTTTTGTATGTATGGAAACTTTTGGGACACCCTGTACAATTTACTCTGATAAAACTGTTCTTTGCATTTTACATAGTTGAAAATGACTGCTTATTAAGAGCAAAAAATGTTTCCTAACAAATAAATGTAGAATCTGTTTTCTTAATTAAGTTCTATTTTTATAAACTATTTCAAATTTCTATATGCATTTTTATTCATTTTTATAACCAAACGATTTTTTTAACTAATCAGGCTATAAATCTGCTATTTTAATGATTAACACTAAATAATGTGTTATTACATGTAGACATTAGGCACCATCATAAGAGATGGTGTCTAATGTTTACTTCCAGTAGCAAATTACTTAGTGTTAATCATTAAAATAGCAGATTTATATTATAGCTTGATTATTTAAGGTGAACATTTGGTTTTGTGTCTGTATATATATCTGGCTTTGGTATGTTTGATATATTCATTTTTATTTGTGCTTTATATGTTGATTCCCTATACAATTTAGCCTGAAAGATTCTTGTGTCATAAAACAAAAAAGCCTGTAACTAGCTAATTGTTGTTAATTTGTTTCCTATTAATTTTCTTTTTGTTAGTTATTTTTATATATAAATGGTAGTAAAGTATCATGTTTAAAAGAAGAAATTGTAATCCTTGTCGCTCCTTTCTGCTTATTCTTATGATTTTAAAACTGACATACAGTGGTACCTCAGGATACGAAATTAATCCGATCCAAAACTGAGATCGTATCATGAAAATGTCATAAGGTGAATCATTTTTTCCCATACGATTACATGTAAAACCAAATAATTCGTTCCAACATGAAAAAACACACTCAAATTAAAGCTAAGTAGTACATTAAAAAAAAATAACTATAGTAAAGAAAACACTGAAAAATGCATTTTGTAGTTGTAAATGTATAAATAACCATAATAGAATAATAATTGATTAAAAAAAATGCAGTTTTATTTGCACTTTACCTTTGAGGGTAGACGACGGTGGAGGTGTAAACTAGTGGCGGAAGAGAGGGAGAAGGGAAATGATATTAAAACTTAACTTACATAACATAATGTAACAATAACTTTAAAATAACTTAGAAAAGATTTAGTGTTGTTTTATATATATTTTTTTTAAAATTTTTATTCACTGCTTTTTGCTTTCATTCCTTCACTTCCACCAGCACTTTCACTGGATAGAGGTCGCTTGGTAAAATATCTATCCAAAGAGGTTTGGCTTTGCCTACTTTTTAAAATGTTTCTAAAATTATTTAGGCAAATGTCATTACTCTGAGCAGCAATACAGATAGTGTGAACCTTTTTGGAATGTTTCATTTCAATAAAATCAGTCACTTTCTGATAATACCTCAAGATTTCCTTTATCGAGCAAGATCCTTCCACAACGAAGCAAACACGAGGACTGAGACCAATGAACAGAAGTGAATAAAAAATGGCGCTGCGAACTAATGTAATGTTGTATGGTGAGTTTTTGTTCGTATCGTGGAGCAAAATTATGTTTGAATTTCATGTCATATCCTGAAAATTTCGTATGCTGGGGCGTTCGTATCCTGAGGTACCATTGTAATTAATGAATAATATTCTATGCATGTAATTTGATAGAAATTTCTTTAAAAATAAGTGAAAAATATTTTATGATTTTTGGAATTTCTCATTTAACACAAATGTCTTCCAACCGTAACACTGTGTTGAGTAATAACTGTCCACAATCATCCACTGTCCACAGTCAGCACCTGAAGAAGACCTCGGTGGAGGTCAAAAACGTTAGTGAATATTGTAATGAACACAACACTGATAAAGGTTTTTTTGTAGACAATTCTCATTTATTTTAAAAGTCAGATGATTACTTGTTATATGTGGGATATGGACACTACTTTAAAAAATTGATTCCATTCTGTGTTTTTGTTTATCATAAAGTTTTATATTAATATTTAAAAGTTGAAAACAAGATTACAATAATATTGATCTAAAGCCAGTGTTTTTCGATTGGGGCTAGGATGTCACAATGACACTTTCAGAGTGCTGCAAAATAGTGTTAAAATAGCACCGTAATACTTTCAGGGCAGTCATCAGGGGATCCAAGGATTTTTCCTGGTCTGAGAGGAAACTCAGTGTCCTGTTGCGGGTCACACTCCTGTAAATTATTATGCTTATATGTTATTTTTACTAACAGAAAGTAAAATCTTTAAGACTACTATTACTAAACATTCAAAATGTTTCATTTGTTCAAAGAAAAAATGGCAAAAGGGACCCACTGCTATTCCTGGGTTCCATAAAAGCACTTGTTGGTCTCAGACATTTCTTATGTGTGTATTACTGAAAATATAAAAAGCACGATAACCTAAATTGATAAAGAAGCAGGGATTCCACAAGAAAAATGACCAAGTTGAGATGCCAATATTAGAAAAAGGTTGATAAACATTAGCCTAAAGCAAAAAAATAAAAACAAAGTTAAAACGTTTTAAAATTTTGAAGAACTGGTTGTATTCAAATGATTTTTTCCAGTTGTTTTAGATCTTAAGATTTATTCACAAAATAAATCATATTTTTGCTTAAGAGTTTTGTAAATTACGAGTTTATTTTTAATATCTCATCGTATTAAAAATTAGTCAAAAAGAGTTATTTAAAATATCCTACTTAAGTACCATATTTTTTGTTACCCATTTAGATACTTCAGATGTTATTTCCAAGAACATAATTTCAATTGACGACACTGTGACAATGGGAAGTATGCATTTTGCATTTCTGTGAAAAATCACAGAGTCAAGAGTTACTTCATTTCTCTTTAGAATTTGTTATCAAAGATTAAACTGGTAATTTGGGTTTCTATTTTTAACATATTATGTTCTTTAAGCACTGATGATCTTTTCCCAACTGGCTTTGACTAGATCTGCAATGGGTATGGCCTTACATATCTGGAACAGATCACATGTGAAAAATTTTTGGTGCTGGTTTCCCATCCAGATTTGATCCCGGTTTTCCCAGAACTGTACTTTGATGTATTAATCATCTCAGCTGTCTTGCTATAAATAATCTGCATTTATAAAATTTACTGAAACTTAGCCAAATATCTACACAAAATTCAGATTTTACATATTTGGTTATCTTAATTTCTTTTAAGCTTAGAAGCATTTTTTTAAAAATTTCAAAATGGTTTTTTCTTTTTAGGTTTTGAAGAAATAAGGCATAATATTAAGAAGGAACCCAGCTGGGTTGGATATGAAGAGATCTCTCCCCAACAGAATTTGGAATTTGATCATGAAGCTGTCAAGACAATGATGAAAATTGAAACAGTTGATGATATAAAAGTGAGTAAGGATTTGACTTATGTTTACTGTGGGAAAAAAACAGATAAAAATTATAAGTTTCTACAAAATTAAATTAAAATTATATTTGTCTGATTCATGTGAATGGTGAAATGTACTGGCAGTCAACCTCCTGATAGGAGATGGATGGATTGATAATTTATCAATCCATCCATCTCATATCAGGAGGTTGACTGCCAGTACATTTCACCATTCTCTATGTTGTGCTTCTCTGGCACCATCCTCAAAGTCTAGTTAAGTTTATTTTCTGATGTCTAGACAGATTATTTTTGGTCTTTCTTTTCCTCTTCCCTCTATTCTTCCTTCCAGAAATTATCTCTGGAAACTTTTGTGATGTAATAGTGACCTAAAAAAGCACTTAATGACTACCATAAAGTGACATGGTACATGTAACTTTATGGTAGTCATTAACAATTTCTTTGAATGTCTTGAGAAGTCTTGGAAATGCTGTGACATGATACAGTATTAATTAATGACTACCATAAAGTGACATGATACATGTAACTTTATGGTAGTCATTAATTAATACTGTATCATGTCACAGCATTTCCAAGACTTGTCAAGACATTCAAAGAAATTTTTACTTTTTTAAAATGAATCTACTCATTTAAACATTTACTTCAATTTTTTGTCATGTCTTATTTAATACGAAAGTTAAAATACATTTATTAAATTTTGGTTTTTGTATGTAATGTGAACCGTTGATAAATCTGTAAAAATGTACTTAAACAATCTGTTGACATTAATATACATAACAGAGAGGTTGAGGTGCAAGTTCAAACTTTAAACTTGTACGGCAAGCAGAAGTACACGTTTGACATTTCAAGTCCAAGTAAAAATTGTTGAGGCACCCGTTCACAACATCACATGACTCAGTGAACGTCGCGCATTGACTCACAGGAAATAAGTTGAAAAAAATGGCGGAAACATTTTGCATGGAGGATTACCAGCAAAGGTAAATAAACAAATTAAACTGTTTAAAAGAATTTATAGGATGTTTAATAACACTAAATAATAATTTTTTTTACTATAATTAGCGTCATGTTTACTCTCCGAGAAACATTAGGAAAGTTCCAATGCGTTTTTCTTGTTATCACGACACACTTCTGTTGAGAGAAGTAGTGGCTGTAAATCCCTATGCGTATGAAAATCCAAAAGGTCCTTGGAAAAGTATATCTGAAAATTTACGGACATATTACACTGTGGACAGTAGAAGATGCCGGGAAAGAACAACTTGATGATATTAATTAATTCCAGTTAACTGCATTTGACAATAATTTCATTTGTATACTTATTGGAGACATGTTTTTATTGTTATAATTGGTAATAACATATGTTGTATTTCTATTTATAAATTTATTATGTTTGTTATTAAAATATTCCCCCTGTAACAAGGTTTTATCCTTAGTACGATAAAGTATTTGATTGATTGATTGATTATTCAATTTTTTAGCAAGTGATGTAAAGTGTTGATAACATTTTTATAGCTGTGTTCATAAAATAGCTTATCATATTTTTCTTTTCAGAATGATCAAGCCAGTTTGCAAAGATCTGGAACAGAAGAGGAATTTACAGAACGTAATTAACTTCTACAAGAAATAAAAGAGTTAAAATATGAGGCCCAGATAACATCTGAGAAATCACAACCACAAGCCATTGCTGGGCAGCAAGTCAGGGATGCAGCTATGACATCTTTAAGCGTATCATCTCCTAAGTTTCCATCTGGTAAATATAAAAACTTGAAAATTTTTTATATTATAATTATTACAACAATTGTGTAATAATTATACATTTCTAATTATTTTTAGATGAAGATACCAATGTCACAAAAAAAAGAAAACAAAACTTTCTTGTCTCATACTTACAAAGCAAACAAGACCAAGAGCATCAGTTGAAACAAGAAGAATTAAATTTAAATAAAGAACGACTGAAACTGGAACAAGAAAAATTAGATTTGGAAAAAGCAAAATTTGATTTAGAGAGAAGAGAGAGAGAGAAGCAAGACTGAACCAAGATAGAGAGGAAAGAAGAGTGTTTTTAGAAAAATTTAGAGAGAAAAGAAAGAGAAGCGTTATTAGAAATACTTTTGAAAACTTTGAAGAAAAATTGAAGAAAAATTTCGTAAAATTGAATAAAAATTTTTATAAAATTGAAAAAATTCTTTATTTATTTATTGATTACATTCTGAGTATTTGTCCAATTTGCAGGGTAAACAATTAAAATAATCTGATGTTGCACTATCGTATAAGCATGTGTGACAGTTTGTAAGTAGTTCACCAACAGTATACAGTGTACCAACAGGCTGAAGATACAATTTCAAATTTTTTTTTAAAATCTAGAAAAGCAAATATCTGAATTATTTTCTCAAATACCCATTCCACACACACACTTACTGAACTCATCCTGGAATTAAATACTTGTTGCTCGGGTGTTAAGCTAGCACCTCGGAATGGTGTAATGAGGTGTTGACACAAAGGATAACCAGAATCTTCATATAAAACAAATTGGGTCCTGTTCTCAGACCAAGGAATCGCAGCCAATTGCTCTAACAAATTAGATTCTCTTAACATTCCACTGTCATGACGTCTTCCTTCTATTGGTCCAAATAAATTAGCAATCATACCATCAGGTGTAACCACTGATTGAAATTTCAAACAATGTATACATTTATGGCCACTGAATACCACCCTTTGATGTGTTTTTCGTCGACAAATAGGATGTGCCATTCCATCTATGAACCCCCAACAATTTGTCAAAGGAGCACCTTTTGCTGTTATTACTTGGCTAAATAAATTTAATTTTTGTCTTATTAGATTTATCTCGTCGATATTCAATAACAATTTGTACATGGAATGGCTATTGTATATAATATTTACTGTTTCATGCACAAATTGTAAAAGTTCATTTTTTGATCTACCCAACAAAACAGAAATATCATCAGGTTTATTAGGATAAACTAATCTTTGTAATAAAATTCCAAGTGAACGTGATCCATTTTCACAAATGATTACAGATGGAAGGTGTAAAGCAGAATGCAGATGAAACAAATCATCTCTTGAAAATCTGTCAAAATTAAAAATTTTATAAGTATTATTCCTTTTTTTAAGTATTTACTTTAATTTATAAATATATCACTTACCGAAAATAAAACAAGCAATCAGAATCAATCATTTTATTTAAATTTATTCTTGCTTTTGTCATAGGTAGATCTGTAGTGATATGATGTAATAAAATGGCTTCTTCATCTCTTTCATACTGATCCAACAATAGTAATACCTCATCACTAGACTACAAATATAATTTTAATTAAATGCTTAATGTGTGAAAATGAAAAAAAGAAAAGAAAAAGTGAACACAGCCTTTGAGTTTCTGTGGTCACTTCACATTACATTAAAAATATTAAATAAATAAATAATTTTTGAATTAAAATCATCTGTTTCTTTACAATGTTATTCACAAATGCTTAAATAATCGTTATTTTAATAAAAATAAGTCATAATTTTAACCCCAAACAGAAAAAAAAATGAAGTTTAACTGATCGTATACTCACCATTCCAGACAAAGCAAATGCCATTATCGACTGACTAGAATTGCCAGGTGGTGGCTCTCATCTGCCATACACGTTTTGGGCCGAATATGTGTGCCTCAACCTCTCTAATTAAATATTAAATAATATAATTACAGATAATTTACTAGATAGTTGTAAATATGGATTCTGATTCTCAATTTTATAGATTATGATATAATGAATGGATCATATCTGCTGCTTCCAAGGTACAGTAGAATAGAAGGCCTAATTGCTGCAGACAAATATGAGTTGTTAGATGAGTATGAATTTAGGATGAAGGCTTCAGTTCTGTTGGAGTGAAAATGCAATATTTCAGAATATTACATTGTATTCAATGTTTAACCCAGGTCTTCTTGCTTGAATGGTTTGCTAAGTTCATTTCACTGACCACTTAGCTTGTTAATCTAGTGAATAGTTAATATGTGAAAAATAATGTAGAAGCAAAAATCAGAAATACTTTCCATCTCACAATCTTTGTGGTTTTTCTTCCATAGCTATTCTTCGCAATTGTATTCTCACATAGCCACACCCATCTTTTCTTTTTAATTCCCAATTGTGGAGAATTACACTGTTAATAATCCTTTCATTTGTTGTTCTAAAAAAAAACAAAGAAGACAGAACCAATACATATCTTCTTTATATTTCATGATAACTGATTCCTTTATTTCTGTCACTTCATCAATTTTTCATTTTACAGATTGTGCAGGAATCTGTGTGATCTTGTATCCATTCCAATGCAGCCACCTTTCTTTCATGTGATTTTGATATTCCTCGCATTTTAACTTCATATTATTCATAATATACTTCTCACTATGGTGTACATAAATTCAACTTTGAGATTTTGGCATTCCACTAGCTTCCACTTGGCCTCTTAAACTGCTCTTAAATTCATAATGAAAAATTTTGGAGAAAGACATCAAGGAAAAAATGTGTGTGACTAGAACAGAGTGAATAAACTGTATGAAGATCAGAAGACATCAAATACTGGAAACTTATTGTATGTACATAATGTACATGTTTGTTTGTAGACTTTGTATTTACAAATAACAGGATATTGTGCAATATTTTCCTTGATCCATTCGGCTTCTTTTCCATTTCATCAGGTTAGTAAAAATTTATAAGGAGTATGAACACTAATGTATGAAATGTCCAATTAGATAGCATATATCATCAGTTATTATTTATGCTACTTGAAAGTTTTTGTTTCTTATCATATTGTGCATTGACCATGCAAAAATTTTAAGAGCAATTGAATTTTTGAATATTTGAAATGAGTTCATTTACTGATGACTTCCCAACATTATTGAATGGTTTGTATTTTGATGCTCTAAGCATTGTTTCTATTATACTTTACATTTTTAAATTAACTTTATTAAATTATTAAAAGTAGTTTGGTTAAAATAGAAATTGAAGATTTTGAAAATATCACTATTGAGTTATCTAAATTAATTTATAAAAATATTCTGAGTATTATAAATCTAAAAATGTATCAACTGAATAAATTATGTATATTTAACCAGATAATATTTGTATAAATTCGAACTTTAAATGACTTTTAAGAAAATTTTTCTTTCAATTACTTCAAATACGTATAAACTTTTTTATTATTATTGATATTATCATTATTCAAACAGTTACAGAGTGCCGAAGAGAGCATTCTTATGAATGGTAACAGCAATTCCTATGAAGATGATAACTTTAAAACAGAAGGTTTTTTGCAACAAGATCAGTTTACTTCATTATTACCTCATTACAAAACATATCAAGATGCAACTCTCTTAAAAGTAGAAATAAATGACAATGTGATTACTCAAGAAAACAATAAAGGTATTTAAAATTTTTTTTTGGAACTTTAATTTAAAAAATAAATACTTTAAAAATAAAACATATATACATTGATGTTAAAGTTCTTTTACTAATATTGCTCAAAGGTCTCTAATGTTCAGCCAAATTATTGTATGTGAAACAATTTTAAGACAGTGAGTATAGCTCAAACCTTTTTCTGTGACAATACTTGTTTTCCTGATTTATTAATATGGTTACAATGCTTTATTTAAAATGTCTTGTAGTTTTAGTCTGTGTAACATGTAAATAAAGTGTAAATACACTTTATATACATGTTGAGTCTTACCTCAAATCTGCCCTCATTATTCTTATATAACAATTTTCAAAAAGTTTTCTTTACATAGATGTTTTAGCTGAGCTTTAGTTTTCAAACTGGTTTCACCAGTTTTTTTATTGGATTTCAAGTATTTTTAAGTCATCAATAACTTTATAATGGAATAGCTTTCATGATAATTCTATATTCCTGATAGTCATGTCATAGCTTGCATTAAATCATGTCACATGATAACTGATTAACCAATATGCCAATAAAATTTGAAAAATGGACTATTATTTTATATATACTGAATATTTTTAAATATAAATTTTAAAAGGACAAGGTCACCTCTCAAATGAACTGTTAATTAAATATATGCAGACTCATCCCAGATTGTTCGGTAACTTGGTGATAAGTCCAGAATGATCTAATAAATTTATTCAAAATTTATAACCTCTATAGTACTCATCATGGACATTAATTATTAATTAAATATTATTCGTACAAATTTGTTCATTGGTCATGAAGGTATTAAGAGTAAGAGTTCACTTTAACATTAAACATGTGGCAGATCTTTACTGTAGAGCACTGCTCTGCTCAATGATAACACAAAAAAGACTATGATTGATCATCTCTTTTATTGATGAGTATTTATATATAATGCAATTGACTTGTTACTATATATGATCTAGAACAGGGCTTCTTAAACCATGGATTATAACTCCAAAGGGGATTATGGAAATCTGGCAACAGTAAAAATTTTATACTACATATTTATGCAAAGTGTCATTTTCAGCATTGACGATTATAAAATCAGAATGTTTGTTAACTGAGAAATGAAGCTGCCTTGCAACTGGCAGTATCAAATATTCAGTCAAGATTTAATTCTTTATGTATAAATAAATAATTTCATCTACCTCATTAGGATGCAAATTTGTCTTTAATAAATGGTAACAAATGGTATACTAGAAATGGTATCAAAGAATTGTTTTGGAATAAATTATTTTATGATTTATAATCGGTAAGGGATTTTGTATACCTATTTTATACATATATACTGGTATTGCATAAAATTTTCTTGGGTAAAAGAGTGCCACAAATGGAAAAAAGCTTAAGAAGCCCTGTTCTAGAGTTATACGGAAACAGAATATTTTACAAAATTCTTTCATTTTACAGGACTTGAAATCTGTGGAGGTGAAGAAAATAAAATTTATCATAATAATAGAATTAATGGAGATTTATCTCGCAATATATATGAAATAAAATTTTCTCCCTTAAGAATGTTAAACGTGAATGCAAACAACTTTATGACAGGAAAACAGTACCAATGTAACATTTGCAAAAAACGTTTTATTTGGAATCAGACATTAAAGTGTCATTTAATAGTACATAATGGTAACAAACATATTAAATGCAGATTTTGTCAGAGGAGGTTTGCTACAAAATCTGTTTTGAAAAAGCATTTGTGGACTGCTTACAAGAAAAAGTTTCTTCGGAGAATTCGGAAGCATTTTTATTTTTACAATTTATATTTTAAGATAGGGCAGTTAATGAAGATTAAAAAAAGGACTTTCACTTGTGATATTTGTAATGAAAGGTTTTTTTTATACTCTCATTTAGAAAAACATAAAAATTTTCATTCTTTTAGTAAATATCATTGTAATGTTTGTAACAAGAATTTTACTTATAAGTCTAATCTAACGAAGCATCAAAAATATCACTGTGGAAAGAGACCATTTCCATGTGGAATTTGCGATAAAAGATTTAAGTACAGGTTGGAAGCTATCCAACATCAGTTATATCACATGGAAGAAAAACCTTTCAAATGTGGTCGGTGTGGAATGTGCTTTAAGACAAAGATGATTTTACTACAACACGAACAGTGCCATTCTGAAAAGTGGCAAGAGGAATGTTTCAATTACAAACCTCGTTTAAGAACATATCAGAAATACTATTACGAAAGGACGCCTTTTCAGTGCAAAAGTTGCAGAAAATATTTTAAATATAAAACAAGTTTAAAAGATCATCAAAAATGTCATACTAGAGAGAAACCGTATCAATGTGAGTATTGCAAAAAATGTTTTGCCAGACAGCCAGACTTACGGCAACACCAAATATGTCATTCTGATGAAAGACCATTTCTTTGTGAATTTTGCCAAGCTTGTTTTAAGTCAAAAAAAGTTTTAATACAACATCAGAGATGTCATGCCGAAAAAAGTCCCTTTCAGTGTGAACTATGTGGTAAGAACTTCAACCGTAAATCGCATCTAACTACGCATCAACGATATACTTATGACGATGGTTCTTTTCAGTGCGAGTGCTGCGAAAAGACATTTAAATCAAAGTCCTGCTTAATATATCATCAGAACATTCTGTTGTGACTTTTGCAAAAAGTGTTTTAGGAAGAAATCGTATCTGAGAAAACATCTTGTGTGCCACTCTACGGAGAAACCTTTTCAATGCATGATTTGCAATAAAAGTTTTAAAACTATGTCAAATTTGAAAGATCATCAACATTATCATTCAGATAAGAGGCCCTTTCAGTGCAAGTTCTGTGAAAATTCTTTTGGAAAGAAATCAAAATTAACAAGGCATCTTGCGTGCCATTCTACTGAGAGACCTTTTCGATGCATGGTTTGCAACAAAACATTCAAGATTATGGATGATCTAAGGCATCATCAAAAACGTCATACGGCACAATCCTTACCAAATAAAAGGGACACTAACAATTTGTAATGAATTTTTAAAACAAACAAATGCTTAATTAATTAATATAATAATAATAATTAAATTATAAGGTATTTATATGTATATACAGTTGTTAAACAGTAAAGCCAATAATTAAATTTGTTAAATTTATCATCAGTAATTAAAAAGATAGGCTAACATTTATGTATAAAAACAAATATGTTGAGTTTGAACTTGTTTGAGAGTTTATCTTGTTATATGAGTTATTAGCCTTGATTCAGCTTGCAAGTTTCCAGCAGAAAGCAGTAGCAACAAATGTTTGCTGGCAAAGATATATTATTTTATTATGTTGAAAATGGTAGAATTTTCATCTTTATAAAAGAGCCAATTCAAAATGCTAATATATCAATTAATTAGATGCACACTGAACACAGAATAGATTCTATTGTTCTGATGTCGCGTATTTACTGTTAATTTATTGGCTGTCAAAAGCAGCAAGACTTAGTGATAAGACAAATATTTGACATTTCCTTAGCTGATATAGAGATGTCTTGTGGGATTGTTTCCATAATAACTGCTGCTTGATTTCCTTTGCCTCTGTAAACTTGCAAGCAAAATCAAGACTTTATTTGGCTGTCAATGTTTTTCTATGAATAAAGATGTTGAACTAACTGATATTGCTTTTAATGCATTTGGTGCAGTTATTTAATAGAATTGTAACTTCATTGGCCTTTTAAGCAGGGCTATGGTATTGGGGCTAGATATCTGTAAAAGATTTATCACACTGACTTGGTATAAAGTATATACTTACATTTAAATGTAGGTCGTAAGTAGGGTTATTTTTCTACTGGAACAGGGCCACTAGTAACAAGTAGATAAAACCACCAAACACTGGTTATGGGTTTGAGTCTGATTGACAGACTGGCCATGTGGATTTTCTGGGATTTCTTCTATCATCTAACAGCTAAATAGAAGCCATTTTCCCATAGAAAGTTTTCACGAGGCACCAATCAGCAGACCACTCGTGTTGACTTCTCTCATTTTATCAAACTAATCCATATCTGATGAACAGAAGTTTAATATACCATTTAATCCTGACATGATTCACAACAGTTATTAAATATTATAAGTAGAAAATTACTATAAAATATGTTACAAACTTCAACATATAATAAACTATACACTGTAGATAAGTACATAAAGTTTTAGACAAAATTGAGAGTTGTTTTTGTTAGCATTGATATTAAGCTTTGTACAAAAACCGACTTTAATTTATTTAATACAATTTAACATATTTAATTTATACAATTTCAAAAATATAACAAAATAAAATCGACTAATGTCAACAGAAAACAAAAAAGCTAGATTATCTATCACATTAAACTATAAAATTTACTCCATTGAAAACCATAAAGAAAAACGAATAACAATGAATGCCTACAAAATATTATTTTATTTCTTATTTTTCCTAAGAAAATATGATTTTAGAAAGCAAAGAACGTCTATAGATCTATTGCTCAACCGTGTCCTTATCCTTATTTTGCAGACAAAATGGCCAGAAATAGAAAAAAACTTTCTCGCTACTGAGCTGGTTTAATCGTCTTTAAAGCATTAAATAATAAATTAAACTTTTCGTTCTTCTGTTTGTACCCTCTAATACTAAAAATTCCTTTTTTTAGTGTCTTAGGGCTGGACGAAGTAACTTCAGGTTCTTGAAGATATTTATATATTGAGTTTTCCATAACATGTTTTAATGCTATGGCTTGATTTGCTGCTTCTTTGCCACTTTTTCATCATCGCAGTCTTCTTCTATAGAATAATTTGGATATAATCTCGATAATATTTGTCCAGATAACTTAATGATATCAGATTTTGCAGCTACTGGAAGTAATACGCTAGACGACTTTGCCTAAATACGCTAGACGTTTAATATTTTTAATTATTATAAAATTGAAACAATTTTTTAATTATAAGATATCATAACAGATGACGCTACACACGCAGTTTTAAAAGTTGCCGGGAAAGTCAAGCAACTCGTTGCTGAATGTTTTATTGAGTAGTTAAAAAGAAGGAAAGGCGTTAACATTTATTCCTAAGCGATAAAAACATCGTTCTCGTGCTTAAAAATCGATGTTTCTGTCGTGTTAGTAATTAGTACACAACAGTAACAAACATACTAATTGTAACATACATTCATATTGAGTGGTCACAGAAAGTTACACTGATAATAAATGGCAAATTGTTCCTTCAATAAAACATTTGCAATTTACAAAATTCCGTTGTGATCTCCCATATTGTATTATATTTCTCTCTAGCATACAGTATTCGTTGGTTTTGCCATTTACCGATGAACCTTTGGGTAACTGCAGATTTTACACCACATCCCTACGCCGAAGATATTTTTATATATATGTATCATATATCCCTCGATGCTACCACCTATATCAAAATCGCGTTAATCAAATACAGTGGTACATTATATAAAATTCAATATAGGCTACATATTATTTAATGTAGTTACGATGCCCTTTTCTTATAGCTTGTACCCTCCCTTTTTATAGTCTGCATGCGCCGCTGGTGGGTAGACAACCGTGTATTCCTATCCTTAAAAGATTACAATGAAGTGGACAGTGAGGACAAAATCATGTTCAACTGCTGCGAGCGATCCTTGCGGTTTGGATGTACAATAGACAAATCTTTTTGTCTATTGTAAACAGTATAACTGTATAAGGTTACAATACACAAGATTATTTAACTTTATTAATAATTTTAAGAAAATAAAACGGTCATTTGTACTGTATCAAACTCATAAAGGAAAACATCTAAAAGAACGAAGACGACATCATCAGTTAACCTAGCAGCTAGGGTCGCTCGGGTTCGGTGGACAAGTTTTAAAGCATAGAGAGTTTAGAAAATGTCCATTCCATTTATACTTATTCCATGGATTACAACCTCTCAAGTTTAATATTGTCCGCCAAATATGAGAAATTATGGAAATTATTATTTCTTGGAATGTGGCAATATTTGCCGATTTTTCTCTAAAAAGCTAGAAAAATTCGAATTCTGTCTCTTTTTAAACTTCGATGCATTAATAACCTTCATGCTCGTGTGGACAGGGGCAGAGGGGGAAACGTGCTTAGGGCACCAATATAACAAATTGTTACGTTGGAGAACTAACAAATGCATAGAAAACATTCGCACAGGAGTATGAAAAATTATAACATGTACTTGTACATTTTTCTAAGAACTGTTTTTCAAAATTTTCCAGAAAGTCATTACTGTATTATTGTATACAAATACGCTTTGTTTAATAATATTTTGGTACTTGTTGTATTGAAGTAAAATATGCATTATGTTAATGAGATATACTTTATGATTTTTAAATTTGCAACAGACTAACCAAAGGCTTATTCAAAAGTCGCCATATTTACGTTTTCCCCTTGTACCAAATGCTCTTGCTACGAGCCTGAAACTTTATGCGTTAAATCGAAAGCTGTATCGATTCCGCTTCGATATTGACAGTGTAAAGTTTACGTGTTTATAAGAATAGTAATCATGTATAGACTTGAAAATGCATTTTTAGGAAAACGTGGATATTAATTAATAATGTTTCCAAGGACATACTGTAACTTAATTTGTAAAATGCCATATGGACATTTTAAAGTGAAATTAATTGCATAAATTTAGGAAGCGAACCACTTTATTTTGTGTACTGATACTTAATTTTGTTGATCTTTCATACATATTAATTATCCTGTATATGTTATAAAGTGCCATTATAATTTCAAGCCATATTTTAGTTTCATAATTGGAAGTTTTAAAATTCCATTACTGGAATTACTTATAAAAATCATTAGAGTAAAATAACTTTTATATACGTGAGTACAAGACAGAAAGCTAAAATTTATCGTGGAAAGAGAGAAATTAACTCTGATTATTTTCTATAACGGATAATGTTTTCGTTTAATAATTATTTTGTAATAAAAATATAAGCGTTGTTACGTCGCAAAGCTAATTTCAATTATCCGAGAAGGGAAAAATGCAAATTTCACCAACTATTAGGCTTAAGGTTACAAATTTTCAACAGGAAATATGTCTGAAATGTTTTCTGTTATCATTTACCTCAATGTCAATGATTTACGGATGGAATTTCTTTAACTCCTGTTCATGCGTCACAAGAAACAACAATTATCTGCTCAATCTTCTGAAGACATTTTATTTATCTTTGATCGAATGCTTTTACTGGTTACATTTTTTCCTTACGTTTTGCATGATAATCCATTTCGTGTCAAATAAAACGCCGTGTATATCTTGGTATTCGATTGTCGATAACGACATCTTTGTCAAAGTAGGCATCTGTATTCTTGCCTTAGTGTTAGCCGTAATATTTAGCATCGTAAGGAGAGTAAAATTAAATACGAGAATAAAACTAAGAAACTCAAATTACTTTCGCGATAATCAGTTGTTTTCTATCATTAATTACACAGGAATTGTCGCAATGACTAAGACGATAATTCTTACATTATGGCTTCAGTTGTTGAATGTATTTTACTTTTATCACGGTTTGAAAAAAAGAGAATCATTCAAATTCGAAGCACTTTTCTGTAGCATCGAAGCTGGAATATGGATGAATTTGATGAGCGGTGGTTTACCTTACCTCGGCTTTTTTCTGTTTTTGTTTGTTGTTTCTTTAACCAAAGAATTTCAGAAAATATCAGAGGACTTGTATGTCTTGAGAAAGGATAATCCAAACTTGGAACTTGAATTGGAAGAAATTATGGCACAACACCATGAAATGTGGTCATACACCAATCAACTCAACGGACCATTCAATTACGTAGTCACTATTTTGTATGCTACTTTATTAACAGAAACGTGTCTACTTTATTTTATTGCCATCTTCTCGAAAGTGGAATTCGCGTTGAAAGTCTTCATTTTTCTGATTTGTGCTCTAATGACTTTTTTATGTGTTTTAGTTGGATTCGTGATGTCTGTTTTCACGTCAAACGTAATAAATTTATTCGAAATCAAAACTTAATTTAATTTACATATTTCATGAAATGTTTTTTATTCGTTTTTCTCTTTCAGATGCAAACATCCTTCCAAGACATAAGAATAAGTCCGTTTCACGTGAAACGAACTGTCATTGGCTCGCTTATTAGCTCTTTGACGCTTAAAGGCGCTTTTCCTACTATCGTTAAAAATAATCCATTTATCTTTAGTAATATTAAAGCGGTGGGAAGCGAGACACGTGGTCACTAGTTATGTCTTTTCTACCTCAAGATGAGTTCCTCAAGAACAATAAAAAGTCATAATTAAAATTAAAAAAGTAAGTGTTGAATTATTTATTTTAAAGTATATTTCACTACATTTTATAATATTAATTATGAAAATCTTATATTGATATATTTAATTTTTGAAATTTTTATAGATGGCGAGTTCTCTTCATTCTGTATTTTCTGGTCTTCTAAATCTGAGGACAGCTTCGAGACATAAAAATTGAGATTATCGAGATGTTAATTATGACTCAACGTACATTTAAATATAAGATTTTGTAGTAATTACTTAATTATATATTATACATGTGTGTATCTTTAACAATTCCTTTGTTCATACACCAACTCGCTAATCTTTACCTGTGAATGTTTTCTTCAGTTATAAGCATAGTTCTTTATGAATGTTATATAATGTTAATGACAGTGTAATATGTTCTTTTTCTTAATTTATTGCACATAATGTCACGTTTAATTGCGTGACGATGGAAACTTATTTAAAAATTTACCTCTGAAAAGTGTTTTTTCGTAAGTCACATCACAGGATTTGTCGCGTTGTCCTATCACTATTGAAAAACTAGATTAATTTTAAGTTATGTAAGCCAAACTCACAAGCTGTAGCCTTGTTTTATTTCCAGTTTGCGAAGAATAACAGACAAATTGAACAGAACAGACCTTGATTTAACAGACCTTTAAATACATATGTGCACAATTACACAACACAATTACATATGTATTTAATATATATGTAACTGCATCTTTGCGTTTTTGTATAATTTATAAGTACAGACTTTATTAACATCCGAAAGGCTTCTATGTTCTGTTTAAATAAAAAAAAATCTTGTAAAAGTGCGAGAATAATTGCTTTTATATGACAATAAAGTGTCTATATCTTTACAACACGTGTGACTTATGTCCTCGTAAATGTAACGTTTATAGAAAAATTATTGAGCTGCAATTTGAAAAAATTTCAGACTTATAAATTCCCACTGGCGTCCATCTATCTGTGTGTCCGTCCTTCCTTAATCTCGAGAAAGGAGTTAGATAGATGAAAGTGGAGATTAAACATAGACAGCTTAGGAGCAGGACACCCAGATAAATTATAAATGATCTTCCGGTTTAAAATGGAAGTTATGTTACTTGAATTTAAACTTTTCTCTTAAACAGAGTTGTATAGATGACCGGCACGACTGTATGAGCTAATATGCAGGAGTTACAAGTAAAAAAGCAAAATATTACTGAAACGTAGTTTTAAAAACACACTGTGAGGCTTGCCGACTGTGTGCGATTGTCGGGATGGTCGAAGGGTGGAGATAATCGTGCGTGGGCATGAAATTAGCACTGAGACAAGCTTACCATCTTTTCCGTTTAATAAAATTTTAAAGGTTTTCTTACAACGTTTCTCAATCTCCGTCGACACAAACTTCAAGGAGAGAGAGTTCAGTAAAGTTTCAAATTTCGAAGACTGATACTCGTTTTATTCGGGCGTGTCTGGAGTTCTCGCGGTAACACCTCGGTGTTACAGCGAAACCTCTAAAAGAGCAACGTAGCACGGAGTAGGATAAAAAGACTGCTACGTATCTCAGAGAAAGATGAAGATACTGCTAGCGTCTATTCGTGACAAAACAAAAGTTTTGGAGCAAAAGAACATCATGTCTTTGACACACGCGTTTTTATCAGTTTTTCCCTTGATTCCGCGATCCAATTGATCCCCCCTCGTCACTAGGTGACAATTCAAAACCTTTTGGGGTGCGGGAGAAGTTAATTTTGCGACTAAACACGATTTCCGTTCATCTGAAACTCCTGATATTCTTTGAAATTCCTGATATCCTGATAACTTTGATATTCTCCTCGCAATTCATACCTTTTGTTTTCCGTTTTAATGGAAAGAACTTTTATTGTTTAAGCTAGACTTTAAGTTTGCTTTGTTTAATTGTGAAGGGTGAGAGCTTAACTAAATCACCGAATTTTCATCATTCGAAACATATAACTTCTATTTCCACCCGGGACCTTACATTTTTACTTTCCTGGCTATTATACATAACAGAGGAAAAGTATGACGTAGTGTCGAAAATGACCCCCCAAAATTTTTACATTTTTGAACTCGGGACCGTGAAACGTCGAGAAATGCAAAACATTCGGGTTTTTTCTTACATCTATGGATGTTAATGTGTACAGTATGTGGGAGCACGATTTTGTTCACCCTGTTTGAAGCTTAATAACTCCTGTACTTTTAGTCGAAAATTTCTGAATATTTCCAAGGAGGTTTGTGTATTAGGGAGATTGATGCTATTAATTAAATTTTGATGGTTAAAGGTCGATTGGGTGAAGAGACAAAAGAGGTCGTGTACAGTCGGACTTAATGACGAGTTTGATAAAACTCATCCTTACCCTCAAAATTAATTTTTTTTTATAATTTTGATTATTATAAAATGGAAACAATTTTTTAATAATAAAATATCATAACAGATGGCGCCACACGCGCAGTTTTAAAAGTTGCCGGGAAAGTTAAGCAACTTCTTGCAGGATATTTAAGTGAGTAGTAAAAACAATGAAAGGTGTTAATACTATTCTTAAGCGGTGGAAACATCGTTCTCTTGCTGAAAGATCAAATAGTCTTGTCTCTGTAATTAGTACAGTACAGCAACAGATACTAATTGTAACATAATTCATATTGCATGATAACAGAAAGCTGCACTGATAATAAATGGCAAATTGTTCAAAATATATTCTGCTATTTAACCATAAACGTACACTCTTTCGGTTATGAAATATTGTTATATCATTAGTAAAGAAATGTGTTTACTAAATCATATAACTGTACTTATTCGACTGGAAACAATAGACCGATGGATCAGTCGTTAGTATTTCACTATCATCGACTTTTCTGTCGATTATGTACAACACTAGCGAAGACTAGTGAAAACTAGAAGCTGGTTCCGGTTCATACCAGACTAACTGGTCCCACCAGTGTCCAAATGGATAAAACCATAAAACACTGGTCGTGAGTCGTGGTTTCGCGCCTGGCCAAAAAGTTGACCACGTGGAGTTTTCTGGGTTTTCTTCACGTTAGTAACATCTAAATAGGGACCAATTTCCAGTAAAACACCTCCCGGTTGTTTTATGGGAAGTTAAGCGAGCGAATTAGAGTCCGTTTCACGTGAAACGAACTGTCATTGGCTCGCTTATTAGCTCTTTGACGCTTAAAGGCGCTTTTCCTACTATCGTTAAAAATAATCCATTTATCTTTAGTAATATTAAAGCGGTGGGAAGCGAGACACGTGGTCACTAGTTATGTCTTTTCTACCTCAAGATGAGTTCCTCAAGAACAATAAAAAGTCATAATTAAAATTAAAAAAGTAAGTGTTGAATTATTTATTTGCTCTTTTTAGTTGAACTAAAATGAGCAAAAACACAGAAATCCGGACAAAAATAGCCAGATACTTGATTCTCTACTCTATCTGGCCGATGCGATCACAAAGCAGTCACAAACAACAAATTTTCACTACATTCTACACAGTGTTTTTTCAACCTTCTTGAATACGCGACCCCTTTAAAAGTTAAAAAATTCTGGCGACCCCCCACGGCCATATTAAAACTATGTCAGTGATTTTAAAAACTACGTATTTAATTTTCTTTTTGTTGAGATTTAAATATCGATAAAAAAAACTAATTGTACTGTAAAATAAACAGGCACAGCCTTCTTACTGAAATTGTAGTTTTTTTTATTGTAGTGTAGGACCTACAAACACTTATCTTTTTCTTTTATCCGCGATCGCCCGTGTAAGGCTTTGCGACCCCCCTAGGGTCGCGACCCACGGGTTTAAAAATCACTGTTCTACAGAATCACGCATACAAAGTTTAGTATTCTCTACTCATTTAAATCAAAACAGGAAAAAAATGTTTTCCGACAACTTCTTAAACTTTTTCGTTTATGAACAAATTTATACAAGTAACTGTTCAACGATAATATGGAGCAATCTTAATAGTCATTTTGTTCTTAAAACAACTTAAACAATGCCTACATAATATAAGAAGTATTTACATTGTTATTATATTATTTCAATCCATTATGAACTATATAAAAAATACCAATATCTTAATAATGAGACTAATTAATTAATTAAATTGTTGCCTTAATTACGTTCTATAACACAATCGAATTCAACCAAATCACGAAAACCGAAGGAAATTGTATTTTGCATCATTCGATTTTAATGTTTTAAAAATGACATTTAAATGCAATTTACAAAAGTGATATTACATAACAATAATTCCGTAATTTAATATAATATAATATATTGCCTAAGAATTTTATTCGTCTTTCTATAAATTAATTCAGTCATAAGTACAATTTTTGCAGTTTTTCTGGTTGTTTTTTGTATTCGACTTGAAAAAAGTATGAAACGTAATAATTTAATTAATTAATTAATGAAAAAATAGGTGATTTAAAATAATATTTAATGAAAGTACGCCAGTACATCATGACTGGATATATTTCATCACATAGATACTAAACTGGTGATTGTGCGTGTACAAGATAAATTGGATGCATTTTTTACTAATTATAACGGCATGATCTTTTACTTTACCACAGCTTATTCTATGAGTTTATCAAATATTGTTTTGCTGCAAATCCTGGATCCATACGAGTCTTGCGTAATTTCCCGAAATTGCAATAATGTCGAGAACGTACTCCAAATGGAATTCAGCAACTGTTAACATAAAATTATAA